AGGGCTTGCACGTGTTCAGTATCTGCTCTGCTAAGTGTGTAACACTCTCGGCAGATGCTGTATTCCCAGCCTCACTACTGACTTACCCAAACTCACTGCACTCGTGCACAGAGGCAGTTTCCGTCGTTTCTCATACATCACAGTATCCAGGTGCTTGTTTGTTTGTTAAACCTTGACATTTAACCACATAAGACCATTATAAATCAAAGAGATTTATAAAGGAACAATTCATAAAACTAGTCACTTGAGTTTACTGCAAGTCTTAAATTATTCATCCACAAGCCTATACATAAAATTTCATTTTGGTGGGTGTATTATGGTTTTCTACACTGATCTATATTATAGAAAGTTTCTCTCTTATAGGATGCTATAAGAACTCTGAAATAAAATTTTAATTTTAACAAGACAATTGCTGCATAACTATACATGTTTATTTTGTTTCACTTTCATTTCATTTTCAATACGATTTGCAACTCAGCACATTCTGAGACCCTAGTATTAATTTCAACTTAGAGTATATGGTTGAATCTCTATAATATCTATACATCTGTATGTTTACATACATAGATATATGTACCTATTTATATATTTGTGCATACATATATATATACACCTATATACATATATCTATCGACGTTATCAAACATTAAATTTAAATGATGGAGTTCAAATCTCTTAAACTTAACTTTTCTGCATGTTCTATACTGACTATCACGTATTATGTCTGTTGAAACACAAAGTGAAGCCAATGGAAGACATGTCATTTGACTTTCAGTCATTCTTACACGAGATATGTCACTCCGGAAGTATAATAAGTAATAATCCTGCAAGTTTGCAGTTAAGACACAAGTAAAAAATTTTATTCTGCATGATTTACTGTGATTAAATAAGATAACTGTATGCTGAACTCTTTGTAAACAAGTTCATAGGAAATTCATTTATTTACCAACAAATTTATTAAACAAATGCTACATATAAAGGCAAATAAATGTGCTGCTGTTGATTTTCAATAATGTTCCCACTAATAACTAAGCACCATGAGCTGGGTACTGCAGGAGGCACTTGGAGAATGCAAAGATGTATGAGGAGTCATCCAAGCCATCACAAACTTTATTATCTAGTAGTATTGAATTAGTAATTCAATACTAATAATTTTTTGTAAAAACACACATGGTCTCATTTTATCCTTACAACAATATGAAGTAAGCATTATTATGATCTCTGCACTCAAAGTGGGCAAGTGCCGTGAGTAAGGATTCAATACATGCCAGGACCCAACCCTTAAACATGCTGCCCACTTGAAAATGATCTGCTCATAATTTGCTGATGCAGCATATAATGATTTAAAAATTACCGAAAGTGTTGTTTGGCTCTGCTATTATCAGAGGGTGAGCCTATCCGGGAAAAATGGATGTAATCAGAGTAAAGCAAAATTATGCCCTGTGGATTCATGAAGGAGTGACTTGAATTTTAAAAATGAATTGAATTAACAATAAAATTTTTGTGATTTCATGTTGACATTATACAAATGATATTTCTAGTTTTTAACTGGGAAAATAAAGATTTTTCTTATAAAACATTGCATTTTACCCATTATTCAATCTAAAATCCTCAAAAGCAATTACACAATGGAAATATTCTTCCATCCTATTTAAAGCCTGACTCTCTAGTTCCTTAGGAAGGTGCTGTGAGTACAAGGATAGGTAGAAACAGCCTCTTCATTAGCATTCAAAATGTGTTACTGTGCATTCGTATTTGAATCCCTGCTTTTTAAACTGTAATGTCAAACTAGTCTATCATTCCTGAAACAGAGGAACTGTGTTCTTTCCATGCTGAGCCTTTCGGAAAGCAACCACCTTCACTGTCCTTTGCCTCCTCCGTGGTCTTTAACTACTTGAAATCCTGTCTCTTCTTTAGGGTTTGGGACAAAGTCCATCTATGATGTTGCTCAGTGATGCCTTTCCATGATTACTCCTAACAAAAGGGACTTTTCTTCATCACTAAACTATTTTTGTTTTTAACCTTTATTTATCATTTATTCTCTTTATATGACACTTCTTTAACAATTCTTTGTGTTTGAGTGTTGAATTTTCTCTAAGCTAAATCATAAATTCTTACAATTTTTTTTCTTTGAGGTCATAGCAGCAACTAGGACTGAGTCAGTACACTCAATAAGTATTGCACAGATCAATAAAATATTACCAATGAATTCAACACTAATATCAATCCAATGACACATTTTATAATTATAATATTGCTATCAATATAACTAATGTTTGAAGATTTGGAGGATTTCCATGTGTGACAATGAAAAAACCTTATGAAGTGGCATTTATTCCAATCTGTGATTATTTCATTTATTGACTTATTTTCTTCCTTTTTTACTAGAATGAGGCTTCCATGAAAGCAAAGACCTGTCTACTTTGTTCAGTATTTTATTCCCAAATATCTATTAAATATTTGTAGAAGGAAGGAGGGAGGGAAAAAGATGTATATAGGATCTGTTTGCATAAGTTGCTGCCCTTATCACCACTTTTCCTAATTAGAAAGTTACCCATGCCTCATTCCTAGTTTCTGGAACTGCTAATACAGCAGGACAGGAATAAACTCAGAGGAACTGGGGCTGCTGACACTGGGCACCTTTGATAGCAAAGAGAGGACAGAAAATGTTTTACCTGTGTCCATCTCTCTTTTGCTCACTAATTTGCCTTCCATATACATAGCACAAAGGTGTTGAAACCTAAGTTTAAGAAAGAAAAAACAGTGAAGATAGTGTAAATTGTGTAAAGCAGCAGCCAAAAATAAAGAGTAAAAGAAAGGGAAGGAGGGAGAAAAGATAGAAAGGGCATCATGTTAGGGTAATTTTAAAAAATGCAATGGAGAAAGGATAATCTTGTCAATAAATGGTGCAAGAGTGATTGGACATCCATAGGGAAAAAAAAGAACCTTAAACTAAATTTCATACCTTACACAAAATTTAACTCAAAATGTACATGGATTTAAATGTAAACATAAAACTGTAAAACTTTTAGAATAAAAGTAGGAGAAAACTTCGGAATCTACGACTAGGTGAAGAATTCTTAGACATGAAACCAAAAACATAATCCATGGAAAGAAAAAATGATAAACTGGGCTTCATTAAAGTTACAAATTTTTATTCTAGGAAAGACCCTTTTAAATGTATTAAAAGACACCAATAGGAGGAAATGCTTGCATACCACATCTGACAAAGGTCTAGTATATAGAATATAGAAAAAACTCTTAAAATTAAATAGCAAAAAGGCAAACAATCCAATTAGAAAATAGGAAAAAGGCACAAAGAGATATTTCAACTAGGAAGATACACAGATGGCAAAATGCTCAACATCACTAGTTATTAGAGAAATGCAAATTAAAACTGCAGGGACATATCAGTGTACACCTGTCAGAATGGCTGAAATTAAAAGAAAATAGTGACAACATTAAATATTGGTGAGGATGCAGAGAAACTGTATCACTTGTACATAGCTGATGGGAATTAAAATGGCATAGTATTCTAGAAAACTGTTTGGTATTTTCTTTAAAAATAAAAATGCAACTGTCACATAACCCATAGAATTGCACTCCTGAGCTTTTATCCCAGAGAAATGAAGACTTCTTTTTATATAAAAATATGTTTACAAATGTTTATATATTCTTTTTTATTGTGATAAAATATGCTTAAGTTTTACCATTTTAACCATTTTAAAGTGTACAGTTCAGTGGCATTAAGCACATTCACAATATTACACAACTATTACCACTATATCCAGAACTTTTTCATCATCCCAAACAGAAACTCCGTACATATTAAATAACAACTTCCCATTTACCTTTTCCCTTCAGCCTCTGGTAATCTCTATTCTATTTTCTGTGACTTTGCCTATTTTAGGTACTTCATGTAAGTGGCTTTTGTGTAGCTTATTTCACTTGTTCCAAGTCATTATCCATGTTATAGCATGTGTCAGAATTTCATTCCCTTTTAAGGCTAAGTAACATTTCATGGTATGTATATACCACATTTATTTTATCCATTTATCTGTTGATGGACACTTGGGTTGTTTCTACCTTTTGGCTGTTGTGAATAATGCTGCATTGAACATTGGTACACAAGTATCTATGGCAGTTTTATTCTTAGCAGATAGAAATGAAACAAATGCAAATGTCTTTCAACAGGCAAATGGCTAAACTGGTATATCTATATATACTCAGCAATAAATAGAATGAACTATTGATACACACAATAGCCTGTATGAAGTTTCAGATAATTATGTTGAATGAGAAAAGCCAATCCCAAACAATTATATATTGTATGATTCCATTTATAGAATATTCTTGAATTGTCAGAATCAGGGCAGGAGAGATGTGAGTAGGACAATAAAAAGCAACCTGATAGAATGCTAATGAATGGGAATGTGCTCTATCTTGACTTATATCAATATCAGTATCCTGTGTGATACTGTGTTATACTTGTGCAAGATGTTACCACTGGGGGACACAGACACCAGGGAACACCAGTTCTCTACATATTATTTATTATAACTGCGTGTGAATCTTACCACAAAACAAAATGTTTAACTACAAGGAAGGAAGGAAGGAAGAGGTGGAAGGAGGGTGGGAGGAAGGTAAGGAATCTCAGTCAGATATGCAAATACCCAACACAAATTCTAACAGTTCAGGACGTAGATTAGATCCCAGCCCACTAACTTCCTCCACATCGCTCCCTAATGGAGGCCCAGAGGCACTGTGTGATTATTAAGATATTTCTGGAGTGGAAAGGGTGGTGACTCAGGTTCATTTGAATACCCACAGTGTACTGCACACAGTACAATTATAAAATGGCACAATTTTAAATTTCCTTCAACTCAGATTTCTTTACGGGATTCCCTGAAAAGTTTTGGCAGGTACACCTTGACACTAAGTATCCATCCATCAGCAGTGGGAGTTTCTCTTCCTGGAGATGTGTTATGGAAACAGAGGGCATACTCTGGCTCTTCTTCATATCGTATAAATATTTTGCCTCTTACCAAAGATTTATGATGAAGGAAATAACTCTGAGTCTTATGTTAATTGTTTGAGACCTTGCTTTGTGGCATTAATTGTTTAGTTTTAATGTAAGACATTGTCTGTCATAAAGTGAAAGCAGAAGTTTAAAAAAATACAGATTTTGTTCCTTTTAAGTCCCTGGTGTTGTCATGCATTCCATAAGCAATTTCAGGCTGAGTGTAAATAAATTCCCTCTTAATGTACTTTAAAAAGTTACAAATTTCAATGTAGATTGGCAATCTTAGTGTGGAATAGCAGTGTACCACAGAATATATTCCTCTTTAAACTTAATAGTTCTAGATTTCCTATTTGCACATAATTGGAGAAACTTATCCACATACACACAAACACACACACACACACCATCAATGAATCCATCAGAAGAGTCTACAGTCTCTTTAATTTGAAGCAGCTGATGCATTCTAAATGTGGAGAGCCCAGGCTTCTAGAATCATCAGTACCATCATTAAGAATCAGAATCCTTGATTTAAATGTTCTTTATTATTCTCTCTGTAGGAGGATTTATATCATATAGTTATTAGTTCTTCCCCTATTGTTCCCAGACTGTCATGCATAAATGTCAACAAGAGTGTATTTCATTCATACTCTAAAATTAAATCCTTTATCCCACAATGAGCCATAATCACGACCACATACGACTATGATTTACCATAACTAAAATAGATGGCGTGGGATTTATTGTTGGCTTTGTTTGAAATAGCACAGGCAGATTTTTCAATTAAGTAATTGCATGCTAACTATTTGGGACATAATTACCACTCATTTTGTTTTCCATACATCTCCATCAGTTAGATAGCAAATTGTTACAATGCCCAGTTAGCAAAATCTAAGAGACTGTTCTGTGCATGTATGTGTGTGTAAATATGCTCTTTGAGAACATGGTCATTATTAGTAGAGAAAAAAACTGGATAATGAACTCTTAATCACATATATATTTTAATTATCTTTATGTATTGACAGCTTATATGTACTGTTACTGTGTATGTCAATGATCTCATGTGAATGGCATGCCCTTGTGTGGTAGCACCACCCTGATGATTTACTTCAAGAACTCAGTCTCTCTCATTTATTGGAGTTTGTCAGTCAGGGCCCTCTACCTCCTCCTGCCCTTCCTTGGCCAAGAAAATGAATGCAGGGCCCCAGCGAGGGCCACTAAACCTCTGGGGATTTTCATACGAGTTGAGAGGCCAAAAGATAGAGTTTGGTTAAAGCTCTTTAATTCTGTCCAAAGACTGTAATAACGCCCATCAGGTCTTGTTTTCTAGAACTGTGGAGCCCTGTCGGTTCATGTTTTCCTGAGGCTCCATTCATTCTTTCAGCTACATCAAATGAAGTCCTTTTAAAAAAATATTTTGAATGAGTCGCTGAAGAGGTGATTGATTTTTGTGGGACACACATGAAGAATGCTAACTGCTATGATGTTTCCCTCTTCTTGGAGATAAGAAAGTCGAGGTGCAGAAGGTGAAGGAGCTAGTCCACAATCATACATTATTTAGGCAATACACCTGAAGTCAGGTCCGCCTGATTGCAAGTCAGCTCTTAATCCCTAAGTAACAGTGATGCTCTTTACAGCTTCAAGAGTTTAGATGAGAGGATTTCTAGATGGTCATACAGTCACGTTAGAGCAGACCAAAAATATAAGTGTATATAGGAGGCAACATCCCTTGCTTTGTTACATGTAATCAAATAGTCAGTGTTTATCAAGCACCCAAAGGATTCCTTGCACTAAATAAGGAGCACAAAGCTGTCAGCAATTCTGCAGTGAGCCTGGAGGCTCCTGTCATTCCCTAGTCAGTGTCTAATGTCACATAGCTGTGCATAGTTCCAGAATTAACACAGGTTCAAGTGCAGTCCCTACCTGCATTTAAAATAATATTTTTATTTCACACCCATTTAGCAAGGTAGGATAGATGAAATCCAGTGCAACAAGTGTTCATGTATGTGTAAACATCCCTGTAAAGCTCCCATGAAGAGTTATATTGTAAGTCTCACTCAAATGCAGAAGGATCAAATTATGCATAGACTGGAAATTGAATGGAAGGCAGCCCTTCAATCCCAACGTCAAGCACCTTCCTCTCTTCTGAGACTTGGATACAGTTCACGTCTCTGATTCTCTGCTTTCATCTTTCCCCAGTGTCACAAAAGGAAAGCACGACTGTCTAAGGGGCTGTGCAGCTCTCGGAGGAAAGGTCAAGGGCAGGATGGGGTGAGAACATGGCTGGGTAGGGGCTAGGCTCTGCACGATGCAGCCTGCCTGAACTGGCCTGACTGCTTCCCGGAGACCTCTGCCTCTCCTTTTCTGCAAGGACCTGACATGCCACCCCTAGAAGCAACTTCTCTTGGAAGTATTGTAGCTGTGGTCATTTGTAGATCTGTTTGAAAGTGGTTTCTCTTTTGGCTGAGGAAAGAGTGGAATGTGGTCTGAGAGATTGGGTGGCAGGGGAAGTAGCACAAAAGACCACCTACATTATGAGGAAAGTTACAAAATTACTATCTAGTCAAATCAACAAATTTCCTGTTGAAATTTATTTAAAATGCCTTACAGTATTTATTTCTGGATGTACTAGAATGATCCTGCTCTATAAGGTCATACAAATCTGGCCTTGATTTTGGCCTCTATGCTTACCAGCTTTGTGACCTTGGGCAAGCAACTTCTCTGTGCTGAATTTCCTGGTCTGTAAAATGAGGATATGTCAAAACATTCCTGTCTCTCAGGATTTGGGGGACAACTGAATTGGATCATCTATTCAAAAATTGTCCAGCATATGATAGTTACTTAACAATATGAATACTTCCTCCCAATCAGGAAACATTTTTGAGTACTATTCCACTGAAGCACACTGTACACAGTGCTTAGAAAACATCATTAGAAAACAAGTGTCAACTAGCTAATAATGCCTACTGAATATACCCCGCTGCAGATGCCTGTTTCTCTTCTCTTTAAAAATAGAGTGTAATTTAGCTCATCAGGAATAAAATTAATCAGTCAAGATTTTTCTTCTTTTTTTCTTGGTGGTGGTGGTATCAGTTGTTAGGTATCATTAGAAACTAGTGGCATATTTAAGCTGTGGATTTGAAAAGAATATGAAGGGGCTACTTGTAGGCAAGGTTTTAGAGCCGGAATGTCCAATAGTGGGAGCCATATAGTAATTTAGACTTTTCTAGCAACCACATTAAAAAAGTAAAAAGAAACAGGTAAAATTAATCTTAATAACATATTTAGTATAACCCAACAGATCCAAAATATTATTTTAATATGTGATAAACATACAGACGTTATTAGTAACATGTTTTCCTTTTTTCATATTAAGTCTTTGAAATATGGTGTGTATTTTATAATTACAACCCATCTCTGTTCAAGTAATACATTCTCTAGTAACATGTAGTTCTACCCAAAACAATAAAGTTGTGTTTAATGGAAAAATATTTTATGATATTTCTGTTTTTAAATTTAAATTAATTTTAGCCAACTAACATTAAAAATTCATTAGCTATGCTATTATGATAGTCACACCATCAAGTAGTCAATAGCCACATGTAGCTAGTGGCCACCATATTGGATAGTGAAGGTTTAGAGAAACAAAAGATATGGTATAGTAGTCTGAGGTGAGCAGACCAAGAAACAATGGTCTCTTGTAAGCCTGAAGAGGAAGCGGTGGAAAAGAAACCTGAATAGCATTGCTGCATGGAAAGATTTCCCTCCATGTATATCTTTGATTGAGATACATAGCAGCCTAGAGGACCAAGTACAGAGACAATGAAAGGTATGAATACCTAGAACCACACTCCTCCAGTGACATGCAGGTGACCTGATTTCCCAAAAATGCAAAGTGTAATTTATAACATTTGCTCATTTCCATGGTACAAATTCTCCCATCATAGCTGATGGCAAGCTAACCACATGACATCACCAGAAACAGAGTTGAGGAAAAATATGTAAAATTGTCTTTCTCCAACACACCCACTGCATCTCGGGCTACCATTCAATCTCTTGCTAGTCTTCTGATGGCCAAACTCAACTGGTATCCAGAGGCAAGCATGCCTCAGATGCCCTTCTTGCAGGTCAGCCTCCTAGGGCACTGAACAGGTTGGAGAAGGACCAGAAAGGATAAGTGGAAAATATACTCCCTGCTCAAAATAAAGACCTGTCTTTTCTCTTTTCCTTCTGCACATAAAGTGATAACCATAAGGGATCTGAAATGTGTAGCACAGACTGAAGGTAAGAGGCTAAAAGGGAACAGGCATTAGGCTATTTGTTTTCTAGATTAAAAAAATGTGTTCTATGTGAGTATAGAATTTATGTAAAGGAAGAAGGCCCTTCCAAAATAAATTCATGTTGGACAATACTTAGAAAAAATAGTTAATGTAGACTCACAAATTATGAGAAAGCACATTTCTTTTTTGCAATGGATTAGGGAATTTCCTTTATGAAAATAATTATTACAAGCAATTATTGAAATGTCCACTTTTTTGATAGGCAATAATGAGTTTTTTATGTTAATAGTATAATTAGTCAGGGTATTGACAAAAATCATCTGCTTCATAGGTAAATGTGGTTTATAGTCAATTATTTCAAGATCTTGTTTTAGGATGCTCCCAGGCTTGTATATCTGTGTTGTACAGCTGTCTTCACCCTTGTGCCCAGTAATCCTTTAAATCCTTCCTTTTGGTTCCACTGCAGGACAAAGCCAGGTCTTCACTATGTGCACTCCATGCTAGGCCTGCCCTATGGCCCTTTGTCTTCTCTTTGTTTTCAGGATATTCTAAAATAATAATTTCATGTCTCCCTATTGCTCAGGAACCTTCAGGTTCTCTTTGACTACTGAATCAAGTCCAGATTCTTGGCCTGGCCTTCAAAAAGCTCCATAACTTGAATTCAACCTACATTTCTAGTTTCATATGAGCACTTCTGTGCAGCTAGATCAACTCACTGCTATCTCCAGAACACAGGCCCAATTTGCCACAGTGCTTTCAACCCACACAGACTCCTTTCTGCCTGGCCTCCAGCACACACTTATACATGCACGCG